ACAGAAGCTTGGTCGAAGGGCACACTGCAGGCAGTAATTGCAGATGAGACGAATTCCAACCAGCACTAGGACAGGCCTGCTCTCCGGGCCTGAGCAGAAGACAGGCAAATGCAGAGCAAGGGACATGTTCTGAACACATACTGGAACTTTAATTTTCTGCATTAATCTACATAAGGAATTGATTAGAAAAGCAGCAGAGAGGAACACGGTTATGTTTGATCTTTAAGATGGCCAAATTTGGATCACTTTTACACTTCTGGAGGTATACTGCTTTAGAAAAAATTATCAGTGACTCACGTTGAGAAATAAAAAGGGAACCTTAAGGTAAATTCAAGTGAAGGAATAGATCTGATATATTTTGGTGGACTCTGAAAGCATATCAAAAAACTATTTTTAAAAGGCACTGAGAGGGAACTGCCGAGGTGAACAAGTAGATGCCTTCTTAGACTTGAAGCGGGTGCTTTCCACTTAGCCAGTGCTATCCAAATTTACCCCGCCTTGTGAGACTTGTGACACGCATACCTTTTGCTTGGCTGGGAGTCACAAAACACAGCACAGCTTCAGCCCTTGTGGATATCTCCATTTCTCAAGTCCTATAAGGTAATAATTTGTTGTGGTACAAAAAATACAGAATTTTTCACATCCTTCCAAGGATGAAAATGTCTTCATTAAAACAGAAGGTATACTGTAAGCTACGGTTTTAGTCTTTTCTATATATGCAATGGCTTTACATGTCAATACTAAGTCATAATGTAATCTTGTGGAAGACATTTCAAACAGCAAATAAAAACTCAATACATATAGACCCTGCACCCAAAAAACTCAAGCTAATTGGCCAGGACCAAGTTTACATGCGCACAAAGATTCACAATGAGCTATGATCATTGCTTGCTGCAAAACGATTTTGACTGTAGTATGCATACCAATTGGAGATGTTAAAAACTGAAAAAAAATGTGTACTGGACTATGACATATAACATATGTGGACCGAAACATAAAGAGCTCGTGCTAAGAATGGGCCACAGGTCTGAGGACCTGAAACTCTGTGGAAAAGAAAGGAGTATGCTGAACCATGTTGCCTCCTTCAAGTTGGTTCTCAGGCTGAAACATTTACAAATGCAAGCAGATTTGCAATCTCTAAGTGTCTGTTCCACTTTTTAAACAAAATTTTACTGTGTATATTTAAGATACATAACATGATGCTTTGGGAAATATACAGATAGTACAAAGCAAATTAGATCACATTAACATATGTCATTTCACACTCTGTTTTGTAGCAAAAGCAGCTAAAATGCATGAATCCCCAATACATCTCCCTTAATCTTGTTACAAAAAATATTAAAACTGCCCATTGAAATAATTTACTAATATGGCATATTTCCACAAATCATTAGGCATAAAGTACTAGTGATAACTAATCATTCCTAAAGTGCTGGAATTCATTTTTTATTAATTAAGTTTATTGGTATATTTTAGGTATACATAGTGATCACATTCATCATACGGCATTTGTAGCTGTACATGCTATACCTTGAGTCTTCTTTTCTTCCCATTCCCCTCTCCTCCCTTCAACCCCTCTCCCATCCTTATTTACAAAAGCCTTGCTTCCATTTTTCCCCTCCTTATTTGTTTTGTTTTCTTTTCGCTTCCTTCCTTTCTCTCTCACCCTTGTCTAGTTCCCCTTCCCATTTGAATGTTTTCTTCCTATTTCACAGTATCTGTTATACATTGGTCTCTATTTATCCTTTTGGTATCTTATACCAGAGAAACAATGCAGTATTTAATATATGTGTCTGATTTATTTCACTGTAGAATATGACCTCAAGGTACATCCATTTACCTGTAATTATCTCGTCTACCCTTTTGAAGCAGCATTCTTATAGCTTCTGTAATTTAAATTTTTTAAGTTTTTTCAACTTCTTGTAGTTAGTATTTAACTAAGGCAAAAAATTAATTTGAAGTTGGATATTCACGGACACAAAATCTATCCAAAACTGGCATATACCTCAGCAGGACAGCACCTGCCTGGTGAGCATAAGGTCCTGAGCTCAATTCCTGGTACCAAAAAATAAAAAAATTTAAAAATCTCACCAGACCAGATTATTAAGGAAAATCTACCCAGAAAGGTCAAGAGGTAAAGTCATTTTGAAAGAACTGTGTCATCAACACATTAATTACTGGTTCAAGGGACAGCAGGCAACAGAGAGAGGTGACTCTGAAAGCTGTAGAAAGCAGATCTTTCTCCAGTGGACCTTCCTGAGGAATGATTCACTCTTCTTCACAAAAGATTAAACTTTAAACCCATAAATACTGTGCTCTGGGCATGGACTTTTAATATTATACCGTATCACACATTTTATGTCACTACATGTGCATCAGGCACGATCTTAACTCTAACTCCCTCATATTTTTTGAGAGAAGGGAAATAAACACTCACTACTTTTAAAATAAGTTATAGATTATTGGGCTGGGAATTTAGCTCAGTGGCAAAAAGCGCCTGCCTGGCAAGC